GAGCTCTGCTGCACTCAGGCACCCCCGGTCTTTCTGTGACCCCAAGAGTCCTGAGACCACACTGTCCCGCAAGGGTTCCACCTCCCGCTTAGTCACTGGAGCGATGTCCCTCAGCAGAGCCGACTTCTAAAAGTTCCGGTTTTGTGCTCCACGGCTCTAGCACTTGCCAGAAGCGGCCGAGGGAGGCCCCTCCCCCGCCGTCTATCCTCCCGACTATCGCCTCGGATTCACTTCTCCGCACGTCCTACCTTCCAGAAAGTGGTCGCTTCTCTGTTCAGAGTGTTGTTACTATTCTTATCTTCGATCTCCTGTTGAGTTCGTAGGTGTTCAGAATGGTTTGATCCCTATTCAGCTGAATTCCTGAGACCAGACGAAATCCAGGTCTCCTACTCCTCCGCCATCTTGCTCCGCCTCCTATAACTGAACTTTTCTAAGAGAATGGAAATTAAATGTTTTACCGAAAAACACCACCAAAAACAAAAGAACACATGATTAGTGTGTTAACTCAACAGTGAGAATCCCTTCATGATGTGTATGTATATCAAATCATCATGTTGTATACTCTAAATATATGACAATTTTATTTGTAAGTTATATCTCAGTAAAGCTGAAAATAGTGAAAAAGACAAAAATTGTGAATTATAAGACTACATTGACATTAAATAATTTTTTTTATGAATAAGACATTATAAACAGTGTGAGAAAACAAGCCCACATCCTGAGAGAAGAGATTTGTAACACATGTAAACTAAGCTTGAGTAAAAAGAATTCCTGAACATTAACCCAAACCCCAAAAACGAACAGCACAAACACAGTATAAGAAAATGGCAAAGGAGGGGCCCCTGGGTGGGTCAGATGGTTAAGCGTCTGCCTTTAGCTCAGGTCATGATCCCCGGGTCCTGGGATCAAGCCCCACCTCGGCTCAGGGGGAGCCTGCTTCTCCCTCTCCCTCTGCCTCTCTCCCTGCTCATGCTCTCTTTCTCTCTCTCTGTCTCAAATGAATAAATAAAATCTTTTAAAAAAAAGAAAATGGCAAAGGATATTAACTGGCATTTTACAGAAGAAGAATGTGAGATGACTAGTGATAATGTAAAAAAAGATTCTTAACCTTAGTGGTACTCATGCTTGTAAAGTTGAAGACTCACGAGTCTTTCATCATAGCAATTCCACTTCTAGGTGTACAGCATGGAGAAACGTTCATAGATGAGCACTAGGCAACGTTAGTAAAAATATTCATTTCAGAATTTTGTGTGATAGCAAAATAATCAACAATCTAAAATTGTTAAGAACTAAATTCTATAATCAGGAGAACTGATAAATTTGGTCTATGAAAGTATTCCATATAGCAATTAAATCTAACAAACTAGAACAATGTGTATCAACGTGGGTAACATGTTTTAGCAACAGTATTAGAATAAAACCACATGTCAAAGGCTACACACAGTTTGACATCAGTTATAAAGTTTAAAGACATTCAGAGAAATACATAGTCTTATGGTTGTATATATGTACTAATAATATAAAATATGTATGGATATAGTGAATGCCAGGGTAGTGGTTGCTAACCTGTGGGGAGTGGATGAAGGAGAGAAATGGAAAGGTAAAGGGATATGTAGGGAGCATCAGTTCTATCCTGTTAAATATTTTCCATTTCATTATTTATTATTTGTTATAATATAGATATAATTTATTTGTCTAATTAAGTTTTAATATTTCCTACTTTTAAAATAGCCTAAAATATTGATGACTATGAATCCTTTCACTCTTTTCCTTTTCTGTAATTCCTTTAGTCCTCTTTAAAATCTGAGAAATATGCCGATAGCAGTACGTGTAGTGACTATACAGCTTGATATTTTTTAAAATAAAGAATAGAATCTTTTTTTATACTTCTCTAAAAATGGTTTAGGTAATTTCTAAGGTTCCTTCCAGCACTAAAGTATACTTCTTTGATGTTTCCAAACAACAGAAAAATCTTTTTTTAACACACCATTCTGACAGTGGGATAAATTCAAACATGGAGGATAATGAAGCCAATTTCCTATAAAAGTTGTTGTTTTCAGTCCATCTATCTGCCTGTCTCTGTTAAGCAGTCATCTGTCATCTTCAAGAGGTGTCACTAAACTTTTTCTGTAAAAGGCCAAACAGGAGATATTTTAGGCTTTGAAGGCCACACTGTCTGTGGTCAGAACTCCTCAACTCTGCTGTTGTAGTGAGAAAGCTGCTGTAGATACTGCTTAACCAACTGAGCCACCCACGCGCCCCATGCCATAGATGATACTTTACAAGTGAATGGATGTGACTTTATTTACAATGAAATTTTATTTACAAAAATGGTCAGTGGGCTGGATTTGGCCTCTAAGTCAACATTTGCCAACTCATGATGTACAACACAGAAATCACTTCAATTATATTATCCTCTTATTGCAGATGGGAAAATGGAGCCATAGAGACCTTAAGTGGTATCATTCAGGTTAAATTAAAGGACGCTTACCTAAGGAGACATATCTACAGATATGTTGCCATGGTCAATGTCAAAGAGATTACTGCCTGTGTTTTCTTTTAGTTTAATGGTTTCAGGTCTCACATTTAAGTCTTTAATCCATTTTGAGTTTATTTTTGTAAATGGTGTAGGAAGGTGGTTCAGTTTCATTCTTTTGCATGTAGCTGTCCAGTTTTTGCAATGCCGTTTATGAAACACTGTCTTTTCCCCACTGTATATTCTTGCCTCCTTTGTCATAGGTTAATGGGTCATATAAGCTTGGGTTTATTTCTGGGCTCCCTATTCTGTTCCATTGATGTCTGTTTTTGTGCCAGTACCATACTGTTTTGATTACTACAACTTTGTAGTATATCTTGAAATCTAGGATTGTGATACCTCCAGCTTTATTTTAGATATGTCTTTTCAAGCAAGGGAAACAAAAGCAAGAATAAACTGTTGGGACTACCTCAAAACAAAAAGCTTTTGCACGGTGAAGGAGACCATCAAAAAGATGAAAAAGCAACCTATTAAGTGGGAGAAGATATTTGTAAATGATATATCCAGTAAAGGGATAATATCCAAAATATATGAAGAACTCAACATAATAGCGAAAAACCAAACAGTCTAATAAAAAAATGAGCATAAGAACTAAATAGACTTTTTTCAAAAGACTACTTCAAAATGGCCAACAGGTACCTGAAAAGTTGCTCTACATCACTCATCATCAGGGAAGTGCAAATCAAAACCACAATAAGATGTTACCTCATACCTGTCAGGATGGCTAGGATCAAAAAAGACAAGAAGTAACAGGTGTTGGTGAGGGTGTGGAGAAAAAGAAACCCTTGTGCACTGTTGGTGGGATTATAAACTGGTGTAGCCACTGTGGAAAACATCATAGAAGTTCCTCAAAAAAATTAAAAATAGAGATACCATATGATCCAATAATTCCATTCCTGGGTATTTAACCAAAGACACAAAACACTAATTTGAGAAGATATATGTACCCTTATGTCTATTGCAGCATTATTTACAATAGCCAAGATATGGAAGCAGCCAAAGGATCCATTGATAGATGAATGGACAAAGAAGCTAAGGGGTGTGTGTGTGTGTGTGCGTGTGTGTGTGTGTATACATACATACATATATATATATGGAATATATACAGTGAAATATTAACCATAAAAAGAATATGATTTTGCCATTTGTGACAACATGTATGTACCTGGAGAGTATTATGCTAAATGAAGTAAGTCAGAGAAAGACAAATACCATGTGATTTCATCTATATGTAGGTCTAAAAAACAAAACTAATGAAAAGGAAAGAAATAAACAAAAAAGTAGACTCTTAAATACAGAGAACAGACTGATGGTTTTCAGAGGGGAGGTGGGTCGGGGATGGATGAAATAGATAAATGGGATTAAGAGGTACAGACTTCCAGTTATAAAATAAAGAAGGAAAGAGATGGAAAAAAAAAAAAGGTGACCCTAACCACATGGTAATAGAATTCTTTTGGCATATATGATGTTCATAGATAATTTTTTTCCTTCCTCTACATGTAGAATATGTTGAGAAGGTTTGATCTCTTAATTTTTCAGAATTAATCTTTAGATTGTGATTAGAAAACCCATTGCTGGGTCTTTACAGGAAACCTTTTTTGTATTTTGCCAAAGTTTGCATCCCTTTTCCTTATTCAGATGTAGAAACAAATACAAAAACTGGTGTGATTTAATTTGTTGTTAATTAGATTTGTATATCTTACAAGCCTTTGACTTAACATCCATAAATAGCTTTACATAACATAAATTACTACTAAGCAGTTGTGTCAGTTGTATTTCAAATAAGCTTTATGAAGAAGTTTCTTTACAATTACTTTGACTCGAAGTAATTGAACATTTGTTTATTTACATTTACGTTCAAGGTCTAGGGAGTAAGTATATTTTTTCCTCTCCAATTTCATGGGCTAGAGAATAGTATGTTTTGTATATATCAAATAATTATGGCTCTTCTCTGTATACAGAAAGTAGGCCTACCATGGTCATACTGGAATCTTTGCAAATCTAAATTAATTTAACCTGAATGAAAACTGCCAGGAAGGGGCACGTGGATGGCTCAGTCAGTGAAGCGTCCAACTCTTATTTCGGCTCAGGTCATAATCTCAGGGTTGTGAGATCAAGCCCCGTGTTGGGCTCCACGCTCAGCTTAAGATTCTTTTTCTCCCTCTCCCTATGCCCTACCCCCACTCACTCACACAGGCATGCGCTCTCTCTCCCTTATAAAAAAAAAAAAAAAGACAAAAAACTGCCAAAAAGCTTTTATCTCCAGAACACTGAAAGTGCATGTGTTTCAGAAAGTTTTCATATGAATCAGAGCCAGGATTTGAACCCATAATGTAGTCAGGTAGGTGTTCTTAGAGTATTAATTTTAAAAGAAGTTGAGATTTTCAGACAAATTTTTATCTTACCAAGTAAATGGTTGTATTTATTTTTCCCAACTAAAAATTGAATGTGTCTGTCTTTTCAGGGACATCAAACCTGACAATATATTGATGGATATGAATGGACATATTCGATTAGCAGATTTTGGTTCTTGTTTGAAGCTGATGGAAGATGGAACGGTAAATAAAGATAAATCTCAAGTCACTTTATCCACAGATATCTCCCTTGCTACTTGTCCTCTTTATCTGTTTTGGAAACCATCTATTTATATTATCTAAGTATCTATCCATCCATCCATCCATCCATTTGTCTTTCTATGCTCTACCTTTTCCCACAGTGGCATTAGGGATACTTATTCATAATAGGGTTTGTTTACAAAGTCCAGTGCCATTTTTAACTGCTTATATTAATGATGTTAAGATTGATATAATGTGTCTTTTATGAGAACCTTGTTTGGTTTTTTTCTTTAGCTGAACTGTTTGTTATTGTACTTAAGATATTTTCACAGTTTAAGAAAGGGGGCGAAAATAAGGCCCACGTGGAAGAAGAAAATGTGACTCCTTCTTCACCTTTATTTTTTTTTATCTTTCTTTCCTTGTTGTCTAGTTTTTTTGAGGGACAATATTCAACAAATGATTAGAACATCCTCTATGTGGATTTAGTTTCATATTCCCATTTGGTTTACTTCTACTAACCCTAGATCCCTCATATAAACTTAAAAGTTTATATGCCCCAATTTTATTCTCTGTTTGTTTTTACTTCATCTTCCTGACTCTGTAGCAGAAGTCCAAATATATGTAATTTCACTTGGCAGAAACTATTTTGGAGAGCAGTTTAGTATAATATATTCCAAAGGCCATGAAAATGTCATATTATTTTGGACCGGTAATTTGACTTCTGAAAATTTATCCTAAGGAGATATACTTTAAAAAAATAGATTATATGACTTCTGCCTCTGGCCATGATGAAAGGAGTAATTGGCACCAATTGTCCTCTCACTATAAAAAACTGTAAAATTGTACATATTTGGGACAGCTGTTTTCAGGCAATGTACAGCAGGCAGCATAAGACTGTTATCTTTGAGAGAAATGAACTCATGAGATGTACCTTACGGTTTCCCAGGATGGGGACTGTATGCAGGCTCTGATGCAGAAACCTAGAGTTAGAGCCGAGGGTAGTAGTCATACAGAGCTGAGGAGGAAGACATTTAGAGGTGAGTTAGTTGAGTTAGTTAGTCTGCAGTGCTTAACACTGGAGAGGAGGGAGTTGTTCAGAGAGAGGGCCTAAAGATATGGGGCCCTGTACTGTACATATGCAGTATAAGACAGAAGACATACCAAATTATAGATGCTGTGCATCTGAAAATTGAACAGGTTACTGGAAATCAAGCAGTGCTGGAGAAGAGACAGTACATGGGGACACTGGAATTTCGGCCCTGGGGAGCTATTTAACACCTTTATAACATGTAAGACTTACTCCAAACCTGTGTAACATTCTAAATCCAAGTCCTGATAAAATTCATTGAGTTTGAAAGTGGTCCTTCAAGTCAAGGGGATTGAGATGAATTTTAGAGTTTCTACAAATCTGCCCTCAAAGATTGTAATTGTAAGCTAACCCTTGTTTAAAGAGATCAGGCAGTATTTTTTTTATCTGCTTCAATAATAATTAACATCTTCAGTGGAAGATAACAGAGTCCATACTCTCTATAATATCTTTCTGTCAATGACCAACATTCAATTAGAAATCACCAGACCAAATAAAAATGGGGATAGGGGTAGGGATTGTGATACAGACTTAAAAAATAAAAGTAGTCAATAGAAACTTTGATAGCACAGATGTTGGATTTAGCAGACAAGAGACGTAATGAAGCTATCATCAATGTGTTTTTTTGAATAAATATGTCTAAAGAATCAAAATACAGTCTTAAAGATGGCTCGGATAAGGAATCTCAGTCGGAAAAGAAATCAAATGGACCTTTTAAGAACTTGAAAAGTGTAGTAATAGAAATAAATAACTCAGGGCGCCTGGGTGGCTCAGTTGTTAAGTGTCTGCCTTCAGCTCGGGTCATGATCCCAGGGTCCTGGGATTGAGCCCCACATCAGGCTCCCTGCTCGGCGGGAAGCCTGCTTCTCCCTCTCCTCTCTCGCTGTGTCTCTCTCTGTCAAATAAATAAAATCTTTAAAAAAAAAAAAAAAAGAAATAACTCACAGGAGTAGGTTAATGGCAGATTAGAGATGAGAGAAGACAGTGCCAGTGAGTTTGAAGACAGGTCAATAGTGATGATCCAGTCTGAAGAACAGAGAGGAAAAGATTGAAGCAAAATAAATTCAGGCCCAGGGTTCCTTATGAGTGGAATACTAGAAGAAGAAGAGAGTGAAACAAGAGCAGAAACAATTTGTAGGATTGATGGCTCAGACTTACCAAAAATGATGAAAAACACAAATGTAAGAATCATAGTGTACCTCAAGGTTAAAAGGAACCACACCTGTCCACAATTAAACTCCTGAAAATTAAAGGTAAGGGGAAAAAAATGGAAACCAGCCATAATTAAAAACATGTTATATACTTCGGGAAAATGGTAAGAATAACCATAGGTGTCTCATCAGAAATAATATCTTTAAAGTGCTGAAAGAGAAAAAAAATCTATAAACCAAGAATTCTATGTCAAGCAAAAATATTCCTCAGAAATGAAGGTGAATAAAAGACACTTTCAGGGGTGCCTGGGTGGCTCAGATGGTTAAGTGTCTGCCTTCGGCTCGGGTCATGATCCCAGGGTCCTGGGATCAAGTCCCGCATCGGGCTCCCTGCTAGACGGGGAGCCTGCTTCTCTCTCTCTCTCTGACTCTCATGAATAAATAAATAAAACATTAAAAAAAAAAAGACATTTTCAGTTAAATGAAAGTGATTAATCTGGATGCTAAAGAATGTCCTTTAATCCAAAGGAAATGATACCATTTGGATACTTAGATTGATAGGATAAAGAATATCAGATATGATAAATAAGATCTGTAGGATAAAGAAAAAAAAAGACTCATCTTTTCTTCAAAATTTACATAAAAGCCATCTGATGAGTGTGAAAAGCAAAAATAATCATGCTGTCATGTGGGGTTATGATATTTAGAAGTAAAAGATCTGAGGGCAGTAACACAATTTAGAATATGTCTATGGAACTGCACTGCTTGGGGACACCTGTGTCTCTTTGAAGCATGAAGTGGGCAGCCAATAATGGCAGGTATGATACAAGAAGGGAGAACTTGCTGAGTTGAGAAGACACAGATTCAAGTCAGGGAGGCTGTGGCATCAGGAAGTTTTGGGTCAGAACTCTGGAGAGCAGAGCGCTACAGTGAAGAAGAATTCCAGGGGAAGAGCTGGTGTTTCCCCGAGTCCTGCCCCTTAGACTCAAAGCTGGGGTCTTCTCTTGGAGTCTCATAGGCAGCCTTCCAGCTCTCTGGGCATTCCAGAATGCAGTGAGGACTGTTTCTGTCTGTATGAGCTACCCACGATCAAGTTTATTCCTTGAAATCCTGGCGTGTCTTCCTAGTTGTTCGTTCTTTACTGATGATCTCAAAATAATTTTCCTGGACGTACTAGCATGTTTATCCTCCATTTAGAAAATTATAATGAATAAGCCTTTTTACTTGTTTTATTTCCATTTTTATTTTTTAATCAATATAGATTTTATTTTTTATCTATATATATTTTAAGCAGGCTTATCATAAAAACTGCATTCCTTTGTCCCATTCTTCCTGCCTCCAAATCTCTACTGCTAGAGGCAGACGTCTAGAGACTTGTGGCTGCTTGTCCTGTTGCTTCCTTTACTTACATATTTCTTGTTATCATACTTGTGCTACTGTCTTTTGATTATTTCATTCTAGATATTACCTGTTAATTTCCTACCATCTCATCCAACCCATACACTTTCTGTCTTCCTAGTGTAAGTCTTTCCTTAAATCATGTTCATTTCTTTATGACTCTATGCAAATATTATTCATAGTTTGGCCATGCAGTTTATTTTAATTATAGTTCTTTTCTTGAACATCTTTTTGTTGTCCTTGGTGTAAGTGACCACTTTGCCTTGTTTTCTATATAACTCTCACCAGTTTATCCCCAAACTTTCCAACCCATAATTCCTTTCTCTCTCAGACATTATGTAACCTAGCAGTTCCCATTTACCTTTTGGAGAGAGCTACGCTCGAGTCTTGCCTTCTCCCTTCTCATCCAGACTGTTCTGCTGGCCGGTTGTAGCACAGTCGTGCCAGGACTACCCTACTCTTCATCGTGGGATTCACTGCGCGGCAGTCCAGCAGCGGATCCGCTGTTTCCTGGCTCCCATTTCTGGCTTTCTCTTCATCTGGTAGTAGCCCCTGAGAAGTTCTAATGGAAGTAAATATTTTATAATCTTGTACATGTGAAAAATGCTTTCACTTCTACCCTCATACTTGATTGATAATTTGTTTGAGCATAGTATTACAGATTTGAAATGATTTTTCTTAGAATTTAGCAGTCATGGCATTGTCTTCTAATTTAATGTTGAGACATCTGGTGCCACTCTAAATCTCAATTCTTCTATTATAACCTTTCCCCCCTTTTCTAGAAGCATTTAGGATATTCTGTTTTTCCCAGTGTTCTGAAATGTTATGATTATATGACTTTGTATGGATCTTTATCACCTGGGCAGCTCCCTTAATTTTAGCCTTTCCCAGATTTTGTGACTTTCCAAATCAAGTCTCAACTTGCTTTTTGGCTCTCACATATGAATTGAAACTATGCCATCTTAATCACTACACCTTTATAAGAAGTCAATTTCTGGGAAGGATGTCCTGCTATAATTCTTTCTTTTCTTCTAAGATTGTCTTGGCTATTCTTGGCCATTTGTTTTTCCATATGATTGTTAGGATTATATTATTGGTTTATATACATACATGTACACACATACCCCTTCAGAAGCAAGCTTGTAGACCTGCATTGAATTTAGAGGTTAATTTTGGGGAAATTTATGTCTGTAACATGGAATCTTCCCTTCCACAAAGATGGTGTCTCTCTCCATTGTTTTAGGTTTTCTTTTGTGTCTGCTATTGAAGTTTTATAATCATGTTCACTGTAAACCTATTACCTTTATTTGTTAAATTTGTTCCTAGGCGCACTGTGGATTTTTGGGGCTTGGAGCATTATAAATGAT